TCCTCCGGGAGGAGTTTACCTTCCCCTCGCTCCCCATCCAAAGGCATCACCGGATGCCCTCCTCCAGCGGGTGGGGATGGGCTGGCGCGGCTGCGGCGGACGGTGGCGCTGCTCGCCCCCGAGTGGACGATGTACCCGCCCGAGCTCTTCTCCGCCGCAGGCGTGCTCCGAATCATCTTTTGCGAGGCGCCGTCCCCGTCCCCACGTCCCGCATCGCCCGCTCCAGACCCCCGCTCCATCCCCACCCACCCACCCCACCCCACCCCACCCCTCCCCACCCCACCATCCCCACCCCGCTGCAGGAGCTGCGGTATAACGGCCAGCGGAGGCGCGACGTGCCCGATCTCGCTTCCGGCAACTTGTACGTCGACGTGGGAGACCGCTCACCGCGGCGAAAGCGGCACTCCCTACATCACGAGCTCTGGCGCGAGATCAGCCGAGATCTACCGCCCGAGATCGAGCAGAGATCACCAGCCGAGATCGAGGAGATATGCCAGCCGGCTGGCCGGCTGTGAGAGGCAGCGATGAGGCTCACTGACGCGAGATCGGCCGACCCTCGCACAACCCGCCTAGAGCACAGACCCCCGACACGCGGCAGGGGAAGAAAAGTATATGCTTCCCCGGCTGTGTTGTCGCCGCGATGGGGCAGCGCGCGAATGCGCCGCCGCTGCAGTTGGCATGCAGCGTCCGCAGCCCATGCAGAGCGATGGAGCACAGACCACAGACGGCGGGGTGCGTCAGACGACAGCGATGCGGCGGAGCACACGCCCCAGACGGGCGGCCGGGGCCGAGGGGCTGCATCGCTGCATCGCACGCACGCTCGGACGGGCAGTCAAGGACGGCCACTCGGCGAAACCGGGACGGGGCGGCCACACACGCGCGAACTGAAAAGGGGACCAGACCCGCCCCCCCGCGCCCCCCCACCGGGAGGGCCTCTGGAGCGTCTCACGGCTGCTCGCTTACCGCACGCAGGCACATGATCGACTACCGGCTGCGCGGCGCCAGCTTTGCTGCCGCCGACGCCGAGTGGGAGGCGGCGAACAAGCCGGGCTTCCGGTGCGTGCTTGGCACGTGGGACGCGTGCAAGACACTCTCGAGACACTTCCGAGACACTTCCGAGACACTTCCGAGACACTTCCGAGACACTTCCGAGACACTTCCGAGACACTTGCCGGACAAGACTGCCTTGTGCTCGCTGCGTCGTGACATTTCGCGTGCACCCTGCGGCACCGAGCGCTTACAGCAGCGCCTCACTCTGCTGTAATCTGCTGCTCACGGCACTAATTTCAGCACGCATGCAGTGACTTCTCTACAGCGCTGCTCCACAGCACTGCTCGACCCCGTCAGCCACCGACGGCGCTCACTCCACAGGCGCCGCGACCCTCCCGAAACCCTCCCCACGCGCCGCAGGTACGGGCTTGGCGGCAAGCACATGCGCAGCGACGCCGCCTCGTCGCAGCTGGCCTCCGCGCCCGACGGCCACTTCCTCAACCGGTATTGCACATCGGCGATCATGGAGGACAAGGCACGCACCAGAGAGAAGCTCCAACGAATAGATTCCTCCCCCGCCACTCTCGCTTCCGGTCCCACGGCTGCCGCCACGCTGGCCCGTGCCCGCGCAGAGCTCGTCGCCCGCCACCCCACTGACCCGGCCACTTGGTGGCCGCTGGGCACAACGCACAGCCCCCGACCACGACATAGGCGGAGGTGTGGGCGGCGCTCATGTGCTACGCCCTCACCCTTTCGACCGAGCCGCTGCGCGCAAAAGGGAGGCTGCTGCAAAAGGCGCGCCCCCGTCCCGCCGGGCGGTGCATGCCTTGATGTAGCCTCTCGACTCACGCCTTGGGCCGTGGCTCCGGTAGCGCGCCGCTGAGCTCTGCCCGCTCCTCAACGACGCGTGGTGGGAGTCCGTCTACACGGCGCAGGTTCGCAGCCCCTAACCCCCTCCCCACCCGCCTCGCCCCCGCCCCCTCCATTGGCGAGAGACTCTGGCGCCGGAGAAGCGCCCACCTCGTCATCCCTCCTCCAACCACGACCACGGACGCAGCGTCACGCTGAGCTAAGCACGGCAGGCGACGCGTCAAAATTTGTGGGAGCGACACGCGTCGCCCGACAACGGGACCATCTATCACCACTATTTGACCGGCGAGGTGCGAACGGAGGCGGACCCGCCCGAGGGCTGGTCCATCGATAGCGCGTGACGTGCGCTCGGGCGGGGCCGTCTGAGGGCAGCGTCCGGTGCGACCGCGAGAGGGGGGCTTGGGCTTGCTCTGGGCCTCTGGCCCTCTCTCACAGAGTCTCTCTCCTCTCCCGTAGGTCCATGGAGAGCGGTGGCACTGGCAATCGCCGGTCGCAGTGCGGTGTGTGGACACGTGATGCGCCACAAGGCGAGCCGCGCGAGCGGGAGCGCGTGTCCGCGCACTCCCGTAGCCCGGTCGAACACCCCGGGTCGCGATTTTGGGAAGTGAATACGGGGGCTTTTTTATGATGAAATAAGAATCTAATGCCCGAGAGAAGCACATAGACACCCACATGGTTGACCAACCCTTACTCTGGGCTGGGTTTTTAGGCATTGTGGGGTTGGCACTCCCATCGATCCTCGGGTTGTTGCACGAGTATATGGGACACGATGTCTCAAATATGAGGGGCTTTGACTCCTACCAGCTCCTGACGCTATCCCTGGCAGCTCTAATGACCAGGATCAGTAGTGCTATAATAGAGGGTGCCCATACTAGCGCAGGAGCTGCCACACTCGCCCGGACCGTCCCCTTCTGGGGCCGGTTCCGCAGCCCGCGAGAGCCGACAGCGGGGCCGTGCCGCGGGTGCCTACTGCCGAGTGCCACAAACACTGCGCCGTCCCGCCATCACCTACAGGCTGTCTTGTGTGATGGTTGGGATGTCCAAACGCCACCATCTTGGCTCTTGCGACCTCAAACCCGCGAGCTGTATGGGTGGTCCTGACGTCGACAGACGCCCGAGGACCACGGTGAAGCTGAGCTGGAACGAGTCGACAAGTCTCGTCTGAGCCCGTGGCGGTCGCCGGCTGAGTCGCTGTGCACGGACCGGTACCTCAGGCGTCACCTCCGCAGCCTCAGGTCTCACACTCCATCACCTCCGCCGGGACGCCATCGGTGGCACGCTCGGCGGCGAGTTTGTGGCAGCTCCACAGCGAGCGCGGCATCGAGCCTATTCGGTCTGGTCGGTTAGGCGCACTCCCTGGGTGCCAGGGAGTGCGCCGAACGCGCGAGCGGTGCGTCCTGGCAGCCCGCGCTGGCTCCGGAGCTGCCACAAACTCGAGACACGCTTTTTTGGGACATTTTCGACGCTTTTGTCCCATATTCGTGCAACAACCCCCTCATGACCTCCTGCGGTCTCTGAGATGGACACTCCAGTGGGTGTGGGACCACAGCCAGGATACACTCGAAGGCTGGGTAAGCAGTAGAGGTCGATACTCGACGCGTCCCACATGGTATGTGTCGCTGTCGGCACGCTGTCGACCGGACGTCGAGCGACACCGGGGTGGCAGTGCCACCCAGGAGTGGTCGGTCGGTCTCCCGTCATGAGAGAGCCACCATGTGATCCGTATGATGATTCCTGACAACCGCCTCAGTCAACTTTCGTCACAGTTCCCGCTCTGAGAGGAGCTGCAGGTCCGTTTGCGAAGGGGGAATTTATTTGTTTGGGGGGTGTTCGACCGAGCTAACTCCGAGTGGCACTCCGCTCGTGAGGACACGACGGGGGGCCTCGAGAGTCGGAGAGCGCGAGCGGTGCGCTGGAGGGAGAGCGTCAAGCATTTTTCAGTACTTTTATGTAGATTGTGCATCGAGTGGTACAGTTTCGGACGACACACCCCGTCAGCGTCACAGCGCTCAGCGGGGCGGCGCGAAACCCGAAATACATGCGCGTCGAGGACAGAGAGAAAGTGGGGCGGGCTCCCAACGGCCGAGAAGTGGGTACGCTGCAGCCGTGGTCCTCGTGCCCCCCGACGAGATATGGGCTGCTGCTCACGCCGCGGCGGCGCGCGGCGCCTCCTCGTCGGCGAGCTCGTCGGGGAGCGCGTCGAGCGACGCCTGGGTGCGGGATGGGAGGTGGCGCGTCCTGGAGAGGGTCGAGTGTCTGTGGAGGCGATGTGGACTCTGGATCTCGTGTGGCCGTTGGTGTCGTGGGCAGTGGCTCGCCTTGAGCGACGCAATGAGATCCTCCTTGTGCTCGATGCCGACCGACAGCCGCACAAACCCGTCCGTGATGCCGACCTTGAGCCGGTCTTCCGCGAGCATGTTTGCGTGCGTCATCACGGCGGGGCACGTGCAGATCGACTCGAGCGCGCCGAGGTTCTCGCAGAGCGACCACGGCCGCTGGATCGAATCCATGAGCGCGCGGCCCGCCGCGGTGCCGCCCTTGACCTCGAACCAGAGCATGCCGCCGTGCAGGCCTGTGAGACGTGTCAGGGACGAGTCAGGCGGGGAGTGCAAGTGGTGCGCGCGCGCGCGTGCGCGCGTGCGTGCGTGCGTGTGTGCGTGTGTAGGGGTGTGTAGGGGTGTGTAGGGGTGTGGGGGGTGGGCCGTTCGCGCGCCGTTCATGTGCTGCCGGTCGGCGAGCTCTTTCTGCGGGAAGGAGGCGAGCCCAGGGTAGCCGACCACGTGCACCTGGACGTGTCGTGGGCGTGTCGTGGGCGTGTCGTGGACGTGTCGCGGACGTGTCGCGGACGTGTCGCGGACGTGTCGCGGACGTGTCGTGGACGTGTCGCGGACGTGTCGTGGACGTGTCGCGGACGTGTCGCGGACGTGTCGTGGACGTGTCGCGGACGTGTCGCGGACGTGTCGCGGACGTGTCGTGGGCGTGTCGTGGACGTGTCGTGGGCGTGTCGTGGACGTGTCGTGGGCGTGTCGTGGACGTGACGTGGACGTGTCTCGCTCAGCCAGCGCAGTCCCACCTTTGGATGCCGCTCGAGGAACTCGGCAATCGCCTGCGACGCGGGCGCGAGCCGTGTGAGGCCGCCTCACAGGGACAGTGCCGCTCGACCCGCTCGGGCGGTGGCCTGCGCGTTCTCGCACTGCTGCCGCACGCGCAGCGCGAGCGTCTTGGCCGTCTGCAGCGTGTAGAAGGCCTACGAGAGGGGAAGGAGACGGGTTGGCGCGCGGGGGAGCCTGCAGCCTCGTGGCCCTGCACTCGTGGCCGCTGGAGGTTGGAGTGGGGTGAGGTGGACATGCACATGCACATGCGCATGTGCATGTGTGGGTGGGGGGCGGCGGGGCATGAGGAGAAGTGGGAGGTGGGGGGGCATCTAGGGCAAGGCGCGTTTTGCGGGCTCATGATGTTTCCGTGCACGTTTTGCATGTGCTTGACGCGCTCGTGCAGCTCGGGCGAGGCCGCGACCACCGCGCCGCCAACCTAAGGGAGTCCGCTCAGGATGTGTGGCAGCCCCGTTGGCTGCGTGTCTTGTCTTGTGGCTCTGTGTGCCGCTCCAGCGT